TCTCGTCTCTCTCTCTCTCTCTCTCTCTCTCTCTCTCTCTCTCTCTCTCTCTCTGTGAGTAATGGGTCATTCCTTTACCTCAATGCTGAGGGGGGAGGTGGTGGGTGCATAACGGTCAACAACATGGCCCTCCTTGTCCACCAAGAACTTTGAGAAGTTCCACTTGATGTTGTCCCCAAATAGACCCCCTTTGCTTGATTTCAAGAATTTGTACACAGGTGTGGCATTGTCCCCATTCACTTCAACCTGTATATGATATCAGAGATCAAAAACTAAGCGAAGAGAAGTGTACGATAGAGACAGAATGGAAGGGAAAGAAAAACTCACGACATCAGACAATTTCCTTGGGCGTGAATGTATAAATAAAAAAAGAAGAAGATAAAGAAAAACTTTAAGGCGTTTAGTCACCTTGTCGAAAATGGGGAACTCAGCTTTAAAGCGAGTACAAGCCAGTTCCATGATCTCTTCGTTTGATCCGGGTTCCTCCTCACCAAACTGGTTGCATGGGAATGCCAATATCTCGAGTCCTATTAACACCAAGAGTTGAAAACATAAAAATTAAGTCACCTTAATAAGTTAAGTGCATAAAAGCATGGGTGATCCAAGACTGAAGATCAGATGCTACTTTGAGCTACCTCTCAGTATCTTGGAACTCAAGATACTGATTCTAAAAGAAATAAATAAATAGAAGGATAAGACTGAAGGTCAGTAACAGTTGCTAAAGATCTTGGCTTAAATCAAATAATGAACAAGCAAAGATCAGTATCCTACACCACTGCTGAAGAGAAATAAACAGCTCTTCACCTCGCAGCCAACTTGAATGAACCAGAGTTATTGGTTCTAGAAAAAAAAAATGAGTGTCCTAGTAGCTGAGACGAAGCCAAAAGTCATGTTCCATGAGATGGAAGAATCATACAGAAATTAGGGACATGGAGACGAAGAGCCAACTCAAAACTAGATAACATTTACCATACCAACAGCTACTAAGTGTACCAATCCTATTCCTTATCACTAGGACCCAAATGGGTAGGAGCAGGACCATAAGAAGAGATAGAACAAAGACCATTAAGACATCACAGAATATTGAAGATAAAATTTCCTATCAAAAATTGATGAATAAACAAAATGGTTAAGGCAATGTTTGAATTGCTACAGAATTTGGATTACAATCAACCTGCCATGCTATAATTAAACAGCTCAGACTAAAGTGTCAGGAAGAATTATAAAAATTTATAACCAGAGCTGAAATGGACTGCAATACATCATCACTTTCACCTACATAGGTGATTGCATTTGATTACAAATTTTCAATAGTCATTTACAGGAAAATCATGACTTTTCTAAAAGAAAGGGCCCAACCACAAACCTTGATCTTTGTACTTTTCGTACAACTGATTTAGCTCCTTGTAATTGGAATTTGTCAACCCACTGCAATCACAACAGCATTAAAAGAAAGAATGAAGCAACTCGTTAACTTCTAATGTAATTCACTACCACATTGTAATCAAAGAAGAAATAAAAGAAAGGATTGTATACCATGAGACCATTTACCTTTGATACAACGAGGTTACAATTACTTATAACCATCTGATGTGAAATCTGATAGCTTGGATGTGTTACAAAGTGAGAAAATTTCTTTTGAAGTTTGAGCTATGTCAATGAAATAAATGCAGCCATCCAATTTCACAAACAATGGTCAAAGATTAATTGTGACCACCTTGTACCAAAGGTAAATGGTCTCATTGTATACTTTTCCACAAAAATGAACACGACTTGCCAACTTCTCATGTAATTCACTATCACACTATATATCCACAAATGGTCCTTGTGTGTGCATGACCGTCCAGCTTCATGTAGCTACAACAGGGAAATGCCAAAAAGGGATTTTTTTTTTTTTCCTAATGATGATTTATGAAGTTACAGCTCCCAGTTTAAAAGTTGAATTGAACAAATCCAGCCCATCGCGAAATTCTTTTTCCCCCCATTAGCGGAGAATGATAGCATTTTTTCAGGAACTATCCTTGGTTCCAAGCTTTCTACTCAGAAAAGCAAGGGAAACGCCAATCCAAGAAATGAGAAACGCAAGGGACAGGTTCCACATCACAATCAATTGTTTGTATAATAGCACGTTTGGTATCTTATGGTACAGAGAATATCTTTTCCTATAAATCTCTCTAATTTCTAATTAAGACTTGGATCCACAGTCTCAGTTTGGTGTCACAGCATATCACTTCCAAGGGATAAGGTTATCAGAATTTCCCATGGCCCACATTTAATCATCATTAAATTCCAGTCCCAATCACTTTCCAAAACATGGAAACACTTATTCTGTACCCTAATTAGAAAAATCGATGGAAGGAGTAACAAGTTACCATTTAGATGCAACATTGACAATTAAGAGAACCTTTCCCTTGTAAATACTGAGATCCACATCATTTCCCTTCAAATCCTGTTTTGAAAAAAAAAAAACAATTGTTATGAATTATCGATCATGCATAAACGAAAAAATTAATCCACCACAATACATAATCTCGCTTCAAATGAAATTCCATCCTTTAACACGAGAGACTTAGGATCATTGAAGCCATAAGAAAATAAAAAATTACACTTGAGAGAGAAAGAAACGGATTCAGCATTACACATCAAACTATCAGCACAAAATCTACAATAAAGATAAACACCTCATGAAATTGCGACCCAATGGCCCAAATATTCACATATCTAACTAAAAGTACTAAAATGATATAGACAGAAAAATTTGTAAATAAAAATGGTACACATGCTTTTTAATAGGGAAAAAGGACGGTTAGCAACATTCCAAAACAGTCTCATAAGTTGAGTCCCCTGTAAATTTTACTCCAAGGAAAAGGGTCAAACATATGCACAATTACTCAGTCAAGTAATGCTTTATGCACCAACAGTATATCTTATTTTCTATGAATGGAAAAAAGGGGTAGGGGGCCTTCTCCCCCACTGAGTCAACTTACCCAAATAAAAGTAATGCTTAATGCCCTTAAACACATCAAATAATGTCAAAAGAAGAGCTAACAGCCAATACAGAAATTTGATTCTAAGAACTATACCAAAGAACCTGCATAATCAAACCGGCGCTTTCGCAAAGCAATAAACAAGACGTCCATGAGTGTGAGTGGTGAAACAGTCCATGCCTCCCTCTGTCCCTACCTCTCTCAAAAGGAAATTTTGGTTTTGTAGAATAATACAAGTAAACTTGGTTTTGACAAAGGTATAATCATAACAGACCCAACCTATATCTCTCAACAAATCATGGTTTTGATAAAGATAAGGTTTCTCTAGAAGAAAGTAAAACCTAGGCTCGGCAATGGCCCAGCCGGGACCAGCTAAGCCAGGAGCTGACTAACACATGTGGCCCATAGGGCCATGCCCGGGCCGTGGAGATTGTGACCAGCCCAGGCTGCATGGCTCCTCGCCTGGATGGCCCTGCCACATATAAAATCACCCCTGCCTGCTTATTGACAAAAATTAGAGAGTAAATTTCAACAGCAATGCACAATTTCACCTGAAAATTTGAGAGTAGCTATACAATAAATCAAACGAATCACCGTCTGTGAAGAGGAACTCCTACAATCTAATCACCGCACTCCATACAGCAACCAAATTTATAACTTTGGTTTAAAAAGGAACCTAATAATCAAAGATTACAGTGACCAGTACATGCTTATTGGCTCAAAGACCCCAATCACAAATAAGTTAATTGCATAGAACTCCTTAACCAAAATTGATTGATCATATGAATGATCAATATGGAAATTATTAACTAATTCAGCGACATGCAACGCTTCAAATAATTATATCAACCAGAAAAGGAAATCCTAAGCCCTAATTGTGGTAAAAATGTAGTAATCAACCAAAATAAACATCAGGAAATCAACTTTAAATCATTAATACTTACCCAAAAAAACTTCAAATCATTAACCAGTGAACACCACAAGAACCACTAAAACATATAATATCAATCAGAAAATGAACTCCACATCACATATTATCATGCAACCTACTATCCATCAAACTGAACATAAACTAGAAAGCTAAATCCGAATCCTAACAATCAACAACAGAAGTTACAGAACCACAGATCAACGTGAACATACCTTCACAGTGAAGTCATGGACAGAGGTCTGATCCTTTTCTGAGCCACTCGCCATTGTTGTCACAGATCTCAAAGGAGAAAAGAACGCTTTCAGAGAAGAATCAGAACAAGAAATGAGAGACTGGGATGAACGGTTATTATTAGGTTTCTTAGACAATAAGGGAGAACATGCGCTTGCAAGTTGAGCAGCTAAAGGAGGGAAAGTAGGGTGTGCAGAAGATAGGGTAAAACTAGGGCATGCAAAGGACAAGATTTTTAAGAGATTAACACGATCTGAGAAATTCCTAGCAGTTGCAGAGCATAGCATTGGAAGGATAGCCCTAAAAATGCATTGGTCCTCTTTTTGAAGTTGGCTCCGCTCACAGTTGCAGAGATGGATGGTATCGTGACTTAAAAGTTGGTCACGTGTACGGTAAGAAATACGACACGTTTCTAAAGTCAGAAACCGACACGTTGCGAGATGTAGAAAGGCAGAGCTTCTACGACACGCCCTTCCGCTTCCCATCGGTATGTTTTGATGTGGGGGGAAAACTTTGGATAGAATTTAAAATAAATCTATTAGAAAAAATTTAAATACGGTATCAGCGTTAATAAAATGAGAGAGAATAAGTTTACGTAAATGCGGACTTATTATACTAATTATTTATCAGAAAGTGAAAGTTAGTTCAAATAAGAAGTTTAAAAATAATGAGTAAGCTCAAAAAAACATATTTAAAAATAATTTGAAAAGATATTTATAGCTTCGCTCGGCTTTTAATATAACTGAACAACATGCGACCATGTAGCCTACCAAAATTAATTAAAAATACTGTGCCGATGATAATGATCGAAAACTTACCGGAATATGCTTTAAAAGGCTATTAGAGCCCTCCCTAGCGCCAAATAACGTGTTTGCAAATCAATCTATTTGCGAATAGGATAGTGGTGCCACCCAAACGCCTCGTAATTCTACAAGTATGTTATACATGGCACGAGCCAAATGAGCTCCGTCCGAAACTGGGGATAAAAGCACGTGCGGCTTGGCTAGAGAGAACAAGGTAATCCGAGCTTGAGTTGCAGAGGCGACCTTTAAGAAAGGTTTAGAGGGAAAAAGAAGAGAGAGAGAGAGGAAATGAAGCTGCGTGTGTATACTGATAGAATGTCCCAGCCATCGCGTGCAGTAATAATCTTTTGCAAGTAATTCTTCCTCATTTTGGCGCTCTTTTTATTGTTTCGCTGCAAACAACTATCTGATTCATTACCTCTCGCCGTCCTCTCTCTTTCATTTCACATTTGTTGTTTGCTTGCATTTTCAACCCTTTTACTGCAACATACTATCATCCATTATTACTATTCCCAATTATTTTTTATTTTCTTACTCTTTTCTCTGTTTTCTCTGAGTAAGTCTTCTTGCCACCATTCATGCTAATCTCTTTCTCTCTCTACTTGTTTTTCATGGTTCCATTCCATTGTTATTTTAACATTTGGGATTTCAATTGATGTTTACAACTTTACATCGTTTCATGGCGAATAGGTTGGCATTATTTTATGGCATACACGAAACCCTAGTTTGAAATATGGCTTCATGGAAGAAAATAGCATGATAGTATATGCAGGATCTGTACCTTATTGCTATGCCCTTCTGTGGCTGTAAAATACCCTTTATTTTCAACTTATCTAGTGACTAGTACTATTAGTATTGTGTAATAGTATTTGCTATTGTTAGTATTGTGCAATGGTGCCTTTTTTTATTTTTTGGTAGTTCAGTGGTAGGAATTGAACTTGAGATGTAGCATTATCGACCTTGTTTTTTTACTATGCTTTAGGTTCCATCTCAAAATTAGGATTTTAAGAGTAGTTTTTTAAATGAGGTAAGCCCTTATAATTCATCATTGGCCTAGTAAAAGAAAAATATTATAGTTTGTTAGACTTTATATAAGTCAATTTGGGTGATGAGGTCCTTCTACTTCTTAGGGACATGGAAATAGCACAAGATCATCCCGGTAGATGAAGCAAAGGTCTCTTCCTAGTCAAGTCCATAATGTGAACAAAGGTTTCCTTGTAGTTTGGGACATTTGAGTTTTTTTGCTCCCACTTCTTTAGTCATTATTTTGACTATATATTCCCCCAAGGATTTCCTTATCTTGTGGTTTGCCTTGAAGAATTAGAAGTCAGCCATTTCAGGCAAATGGTATTAAGACTAGCATCTCAAAGTACAATAGTTATTTTTGGGAACAAATTGAAAATAAATACTCTATTAGTTGGGTTGGTCGATACATTTCGGAAAGTACCTAACATTGTTCATTTAAAAGTCATATAGGCATTGAAGGTATTGGGTTTTTGGTATGCATTTGGTTGTGGCATTGTTAGGGTGTAAAGTATATGGCTTCGAAATCAAGTTAGGAATGCTTTGGAGCCTATAAATATATGGGCTAGCATATTAGCTAAACATTGATATGTAGAGGGAGCCAAAAGCTTAGGAGATATTGGAGAGAGAGATTGTAGACACCCTATTTTGGCTGAGGAGTTCCTATGTGCCCTAAAATCTCATAACTAAACTGGTAAATTCTACCTTAGTCATCCTAGGCCCCCTCAAGCCTAACAAAATCAAGAAACTACAACCAGATATCCTGAAACTGGCCCCTTAAAATCCTAACACCATAGCCCCTCCAAGACTCAGCCAAATTGGGCAAAATTGGATTTAATTTGTAGTGGAGGTCAAAGCTTTCAAACTGTCCAAGAGCCATACTTTTGATGCACGGTTTATGGCCTATACAAATTCTAGAAAAGTCGTCTACACAACACGATCTGAGTAGCATGTGATGTGAATCTAACCCATTTTGACCCCGATTTTTTTTACCTAAAGCTCAGGACTTGTAGTGATGCCATTTCGCAAACAACCCAAACCATGGCGCAAGCTTGAAACTACCTGAAGCACCCCCAAAACATCCGCATTTAAGTCCAGGGCACCCCCGATGATCACACCTAGTGGAGGGCAGTTACAGCCCCTAAGGCCTATAGATCATCATCAGAGCATTTTCCCAACTATTTGGGATCGGCTGCACAAATCTTGGTCTGCCATTCTACTCTGTCAAAGGGTCATACCCTCAATGAGGCCATAAATCTCCATATCTTTTCTCACTACTTCGAACCATATCCTTTTGGGCCTACCCCTTACCTTTTTTTAGCCTTCCACTTGAACCAACTCACACCTCCTAACAGGTGTCGTACTGGGTCTGCACTACACATGGCCAGCCCACCTAAGTTTACTTTCTCTCTTCTTATCACCTATTGGAGTTACACCTAAGTTCTCTCGAATGTATTTATTTCGAATTATATGTCTTCGCGCATCCATCTCAACATCGTTATCTTAGCTACATTCATCCTATGGGTATGTTTTTATTTCTTGGCTGCCCAACATTCCCCTAAGTCCTATAGATATCCTTTTAAAGCTTGGTTTTCAGGGTTGAAAATTTAGCTTTTTGAGCATTTGTCCCATTTAACCATTTCACTTCTCAAAACCTTGCCCCATATCTAACCCTAAGGGCCAAGGAAAAAGATTACCAAAAAAAAAAAATTTGGTATTTCAAGGAGATTGTCCATTTCTACTATTTGGATCCAAAATCTAGGGTGACAAAGTTTTTGTCAAAAATTGCTTTATCTTTATTGAGCCCAAAATAGACAAATTGTTTGTCTCCCCACAAGCTAAACATAATAATTTCCCTGTCAGATTTCCTTGTGCCGACAAAAATAAACTAAAACGAGTGTATAGCTCGTTCGGGCCTAGAGGAAAAGGGCAATCTCTTCCCATCTCTCCCCCTCCCCCAACCCACCTCCTCTCTCTCTCTCTCTCCACTCTCTCTCTCTCTCTCTCTCTCTCTCTCTCTCTCTACTACTACTACTACTACTACTACTACTACTACTACTACTACTACTACTACTA